GCCCCCAGACAGCGGCAGAGCCCTGAATTGGGCCAAGATGGCTTTCCTGGCCCTGGCTCTAGCCCCTGTCCCTGTCCCTCTCAGGGTGCCTGCAGCGGGGTGCTCAGAGGCATAGGCAAGCAGAAATTCGGTGCCATCCTCAACGCCGTGGGCTACTATGGTGTGGGGCTGCCCCTGGGATCCGTGCTGCTCTTCGTGGCCAGGATCGGCATCATAGGTACCAACCCCCAGGCATGCAGCTCTGCATGGCCCCAAATCCCACTAGCAGCTCCCCCCAGCTCCACAGATGGATCACCACGACCCTCTTCTGCCTCACTGGAAACTGGGCGCACTGGGGTGGGCTGGGATGGCCCCTGCAAGTACTGAGAGCTTTTAATTATACTGTGAAAAAGCAGTCACTGCCAGGCAGCCCCACAGCAGCACCCACGGCCAACCCATCCCCGTGTCCCTGCTGACCTCAGTGACACCCATTCTTGACTCACTGTCCTGAGATGGACCCTTGGTTGGGGTTGCTCTGGCCGTGGCACCCAGCTGACGCTGGCGTGCCCTCACAGGCCTGTGGCTCAGCATGCTCGTCTGCGTCTCCATCCTCTGTACCTGCTTCATCGCCTACATCTTCCGCATGGACTGGAGGAAGGCAGCCGAGGAGGTAACCTGTGCATGCACAGCATTGTGCCCTGCTGGTGGGAAAGTCCTCAGTGCCTTGGCTGGGATCACAGTGGGATGAGATAGCATCATGGTTTTGATCCTGTGGGATAGAGCTGCCCATGGCTGTCATCCAGTGTCCCCAGCAAAACCCAGTGCTCTGTGACCACGTCTCTGTACTCAGCTCCCTCCCACACTCCACAGTCTCCTTCTTTCTGCACCTCGTGTCACCCTTGGTTGAGGACATGAAGCACAAAGCAGACAGGGTGACCCAAGCTACCTCAACCCTGTAGCCCTGAGTATCACCCTGCCAGCACCTCTCATTTCAGGCATCTTTCAGCTACACAGTACCATTTCCAGCCAGATGAACCCCGTGAGAGGTGACACGTTGGCTTTGCTCACTGGGGATTTCTGCACCACTGGCTAAACCCAGAGTGTTCCCTCCCCCAGGCTCAGCGCCGTGCAGGAGTGATCCAGCTGCCGATGGAGGAACCAAACCCAGGCCCTGAACTATCCTGCAAGGGACTTCCCTCTGGTGTGGGGCCAGCCCCAGTGTCCCACATTTACCCTCCTGCCACAGTGGTGCAGGGGTGCGTAGGTATGGCCAGGGGCTGGGCACAGTGGGATGGGGGAGCTGGGCACTGTGTGCAGTGGTGGGTTTGGGTCCAGGAAGCGTCCCCAAGGATTTACATAAGCTGGGAATAAGCCCACAAAATGAGGGTGCCCTCCATTACTGGGAAAACACTAATTACAAGGGTGGGCTTGGGAGGGTGACAGAATTGGGGGGGGACGACACTGTGGGCAGGTCTTACTTTGCAGACATCAGGTCCCACCGAAGCTCCATCAAGGGCTGGAGATCTCCATGCTCTCTGCTGTTTGTAACATGCTTTAGGACCTCAGACAAAACCCCTCTCAAGAAATCCCTCAACGCCCCATTCTCCTTGCAGCGGGAGTGGATGCACAGAACGGTGTCATACTCACGGGCATCACCAGGATGGAGGGACTGACATACCGGCTGGAGCCCCCGGAAACCAACCCCGCCACACCGCCACCATCACCAAGGCACTGATCATCCGGCGCGGGCTGGCAGCAGCCACAGCCATCGCAGTGCTTGCACTTGGCATTGTCATAAAGCTGACAACCAGCAAACACTGACTTGCACCAGGGCCTCTGGGGACTTTGCTCTGGGGGGGTCAAAGCCCCTCCTGAGGGATGGACTTAAAAAGCTCAGACTGGCCAGCAAGAGAATCCAGCACATGCCTGTCCCATGGGAGCCAAAGGGACCCTGTCAGCATTTGGCAGCATCCACTCAGCCATTGCTCAAGGAACAAGCCCTGCAGCTGCTCTAGCACCCAAAACACTGCTCCCGACTCCCCAAAGCACACCAAGCATGCAGGTAACCCGCTCCAGCTCCAGCCATCACCTGCCAAGCGGAGCCGAGCACAGCCCGGCTCCCACTGCTGCTCGGTGACATGCCAAATAAAGAACAAACCCAGCTGCAATGCACTGGCTCCTTTGGGCGCAGGCTGAGGGCAGGACTTGGGCTGTAACACAGAAACATCTGATGCTGGGGACTGCAACCCCTGGGGGAGTGTGGGGAATATGGGTCTTGTCCTGCTGTAGGTGGCCTTCGCTATAAACCAACAGTTTTATTCAGCAAGGCTCAAGACGAGCTTTCAGTTATAAGTTTGGAGGTAAAAGACTACCAGTAAACCTGACTAGGGGATATCCTTAAACCTATCAGCCACCCTCTGCTCACAGGGGTGCTCCTGTGGAGCCACAACATGGACAGGACCATGGGCTCAGTGGGCAGCCAGCTGGAAGCAGAGCCTGGAGCCAGTCTGTATCCATCTACCCTGTCACTGCAAGGCCCTTTCATGGCTTCACAGAAACATGATGAAATCATAGAATCGCAGATTCATTAGGGTTGGAAAGGACCTTAAAGCTCATCCAGTTCCAACCCCCTGCCACAATCAGGGACACCTTCCACTAGAGCAGGTTGCTCTCCAAGCCCCTGTGTCCAACCTGGCCTTGAACACTGCCAGGGATGGGGCAGCCACAGCTTCTCTGGGCACCCTGGGCCCGCGCCTCACCACCCTCACAGGGAAGAACTTCTGCCTTACCTCTAACCTGAATCTTCCCTGTTTAAGTTTAAACCCATGACCCCTTGTCCTATCACTACAGTCCCTGATGAAGAGCCCCATCCTGGCATCCTCATAGGCGCCCTTCAGATACTGGAAGCTGCTCTGAGGTCTCCACGCAGCTTCTCTTCTCCAGGCCGAACAGTCCCAATTTTCTCAGCTTCTCATTGTATGGGAGGTGCTCCAGCACCCTAAATATTGGAGGAATTTCATCCTGCTTCCCAGGAGCAGTCTGTCAGTTCTCAGTCATGATGAGTTCTGCCTGCAGCTCCTGCCTAACCAAACCAGACACCCAAGCTCCACTGCAACCATTAAAATCTGCCCTTCCCTCCCCATATCCACAGCTGCACGCCACAGCCCGATACTGACCAAGAAAGCAGGTGACTCATGAAAAAATGAAGGAAAAAATAAAGTTACCCTTAGAGAAGCTTCTCTTTCCACGAGGAGTCATCTTCAGTGAGTCCAAGCAGGTGTGAACTCATCCCCTGCCACTGTGCAGAGCGATCTCTCCTCCCATGAGGGCAGCTGGCCCAGGCCCAGGGCTCTCACTGGATACAAGATGCCCTTTACCCAGAGATATCTTTGTGCTGTGAACACACAACCCCTGGATTGCAGCATCCAGACAGGGCAGTGCCTCAGTTGCCTATGCAGCTCTGTAAGAGACTGTGTGGCTTTGCCCATGCTGCAACATGAGGCCAGGGTGTGCTTCCCACAGGCCACAGAACCAGTGAGGAACCAAGAGCAGCCCACATCTGGATCTGAACAAACCCCAGGCTGGCAGCACCTGCAGTCGGGAGGCAATCCAGATGGACCGGGCTGGTTCTTTCCCACAGGCAGGGGAGTCATTGCACTGGGGACCTGTGCTCCTGCAGAGGCACCTCACAAGACACCTGTGGCCAGAGCTGGGAGCAGCTGAGGACAAGCAGGATTCCCCAGTAGACAGCAGGCACTTACCACGCTTTTTTTGTTATTTAAATTATAAGTGTTTATTCAGTACTTGCAAAATAGATCATTAAAAAGCCTTAGCACATGGATTTCCACCAGCCATGAAGAAATCCAAACTATTGCACAGTAATTTTCTAGTCTATATATTGCATTTAATGATAAGTTTTAAGTTTACCTTATTTAACCGGGGCACTTTGCAATTACCACTTCTCTAAATTTCTCTAAGGCCTCTGTAGGAGCATAAGCAAAATACAGGCAGTGCAAGTATCATCTTTGTAATACCTGTTGTGGAGGATTCTGGTTTGCAGAGATCATGTATATTTCACTTCAATTGAAGAGTGAGGGGAAACTCAGGTTTACTCATAACCACTGGTCAAATGCATCAGCCAGCACAGCCTGTCTCAGACTCATCACCAAGCTGGTGGTAGTTAAGAACACAACAGAAGACAGATAATCCCAAAAAACCCCAGGGAAAATAGCATCAACCCCATTACAGCTGAAACTCAAGCACCTGTTTGTCACTGTAGGAATGTAAGCAGTTTGGTGCGAGACACATTGTGCATGTTCCTGGAAGGTCTGCATGGCAGGAGTCAAGTAGGGACTAGTATTTCTTGCTCTGCAGTCCTCCTTTTGAGAGCCCGTATCTACTGGTACATCTGGTGCAGCATAGCGTTTCAGTAAACAGGAATCCAAGCCTTCTCTTGGTTAGTGCCTTGCTAAGGCTACTCTGTGTGCTCCACGCCTCACTGAAATAACCCAGCAGGAAAGAAAAGGACTTCTCAGATTAAGGAAACAGACACAAAGTGAGCAGAGTATGACTTGGACATGGTGCCTTTTCTCCTCAGTAGTAAACCATCTGTGAAAGCAAAACACAAGACCAACATCCTGTGAAGAACTGGCTCGAACAAAGCCAATTCCCTTTCCAGAACAGCCTGAAGCAGAGCCCCTTCACTCAGTGACATCCACAGGGTCCAGCTCACCTGTCTCCTGCCCCTCAGCATGCATGGTTATCTTGGGTGCTGTATGAGCTCTGAGCACTGCCAGGGGGAAGCATCACTCTAGCTCCACAGAGAACATTCTCTGAGCTCCACATTCACTACTCTAACAAAGCTTTGCCTGATCTCAAACCAGGTCTACACACAGGAAAAGAAAAAGGCTCCTACCTCACTGTGACAGCCACAGCAGTGCTCTGAAACCTGCTCCTCCTTATCACACACTGAGCCAGCCCAGCCTCTGAACAGCCAGCACAATCAAGAGGGCTTTTCTCTTCAGCACAGACTGGTGATTCTGAGAAAACCCAAATGATTTTGAGATGCCATGAGTTTCCCCCTTCACTGAGAAGGCATTCACCTAGACAGGGCATGCTTACACCTCCTCCTGGATGCAAATATGCAGGCAGGTTATTTCCCCTGGCTTGTTGGGCTCCTGCATTTCTCCCTGCAGCAGTAACAGCACAAAACAGACAGAAGGGCAGAGTCCTGATCCACCCTGCCACCTCCTGTTCCTCAGTAGCTGATCCCTGAAGCTTAGTAAATCCTCAGGATGCACAGCTGAGCCTTGCAAGGAGCAGCCAGCACAGGCACAGACAGTGGCTGGTCTGCCAGTCATGGAGAACAGTGATAAGACTTGGTTTTAGATCTTACTGCTCCACTTCAGGTGGCATCCTGAGTCCTCCAGCCAGCATCAGCAGGCTTCTGCCTTCTACAGAAAGGAGAGGACATCCCACCCTTCTGCACTACCCAGCTGGAAACAGGGAAGGAAATGAAAATAGCTGAGCTAAGCTCAGATGGGGGCTGCAACTGGGCGAGGAACAAGAGCTTAGTGTGAAGCTCAGCTTTAGGACACAAGCTGCCTGTCCCAGGGCACCATGGCAAAAAATGGCAGCAGTCTGAGCTAGGCTGTGGAACAGCTCACCAATGCTGCTGAAGGAAGCCCTGGATTTGAAACCACCCCTAACCTGTCCAAACAGACCAATGCCTGCCTCTGGAGAGAGCTTCTCACAGGTGTCACCTACCAAGGCAGAGCTACAAATAGAAAGGCAGACTAGGAGATCTCTTTGAGGGCATTTCTATTCTAGATACCACCTGCAAGAGTGAGAAGCAGATTTTGATAATTTCAGGTGGGTCAGATACTGTAAGTCTCAAGACAGAAGAAAACACAGGCCAGGCTCTAAGAGCGAGCTGCAGTTGCAAAGACTGAACATCCAGAAGATCAGATGAATTGCACATGCACTCATGTAGATGGCAAAGATGCAAAGCTCACCTTTAGCACCAGTGCTGCCACAATCCCCAGCAGGACAAAGACGACCAGTCCTATTCGGCCTTTGTTAAACCTTTTCAAGAGGAAGAACTTGGCCCAATTCACCTTCTTCTGGCTGCCAGGTGGGTACCGGAGTTTGTTTGTACTCTCCATCTTCAGGTCCTTGATCAAGCAGGAGCGGTGGTGGGAGAAGGTCTCAAAGCTGTACTTGCCGTGGTAGGCGCCCATCCCGCTGTTACCTGAGGGACACAACCCAGGCAATCACACCATAGGCTTGACCAGTCAGACCTTTGGCCACGTGAGGCCACCAGCAGAGTAAGAAGCAGCCCAGGAAGATTTAAGTTGCTTGCCAGCTGCACTGCATGTTACCTGTCCTAAATCTGTCTTGCTGCAGTCTAAAAGAATAGCTTCTCCTCTATGTTCCTGCACAGAGGACAACTCATCCTTCCTCTCTGCAGCATTTCTCAGTCTCCAAGATCTCCACCTCCACCCCTCTTCTTCCCCACCTTGTTTTAACTACACACTCTCTAGTACTTTGCTGTGGTCCTGTGTGCACTGTTCACTGAGCCTCTGAGCTGCATCCAGCTCTTCCCTAGATTTAGCTCCCTCGCAAAGCACCATCCTAAGGCTCTGAGATCTGACCAGTGCTTTGGGAGAAGAGTGTCCTGAAGAGCTTGGCGGGGTACACCTCTGTTTTTCAACATCAGGACAGCATGTGCTCTTCACAGCAGAACACTGCTGAGTGATTGTCAGCTTGTGAGCACTGTAACACTGAAACTTTCTCCTGCAAAGCTCCTGTAGGCTGTTCTGCCACCTCTTCCAAACGTTCCCAAGCTGAAGGCCTACCCTTCCTCCAGTAACTTACCAACTCCACCAAAGGGTAAGGTTGAGAGTAGGTAATGCATGATGACATCGTTTCCAGTAACACCCCCACTGGAGGTTTCTGAGATGACTCTTTTGATTAACTGGCAAAGAAAAAAAGAAACAACCAAAACATTACAAAAGCCCAAAAGAGACAAGACTATGTAACTGAGCAGGACTGGGAAGGGAGCTATATGTCAACAGGCCATAGCGCCTTCTCCTCTCCTCAACAGTTTTCTTGGCTGACAACTCAAACAAGCCCTCTCCAGGCAATGTTAACTCGAGGAAAGCAGGAAAGCTCAGGGGAGGGCTAGGAAAGATGGAAACCCTGGGATCGTGCCTCCTGAGCAATATATTAATAGTCCATGGCACCAAAGAGGAAATCCAGCATTTTATCTTTCTATTTCACAAAGCCATGCAAATGCAAAGCACTTCAGCAAGAGACTGGGAGCCTCCAGCAGCTGTGGAGACACTGTGGTCCCCCATGAGCCAAACACTACAATTCATGCGCCAACATAGGCCCTGCATGGAGCCATGCCTGGGATCGGCCATATCCAGGATCGAACTGCACAGACACATGTCTGCGGGACACCCACCTTCTTGTTGTTGGAGAAGACATACAGGGCAAGGGGCTTCTCCCGACGGTTGATGAATTCAATGGCTTCATCTACATTCTTCACAGTCAGAATGGGGAGGACTGGTCCAAAGATTTCCTCCTCCATCACCTTTGACTCCGGAGAAACATCAGTCAGGATAGTTGGTGCTGGAGTAAACAGGACAGTAGAAGACAGCATGAGCACGACAGAAGACATGGTCCACCACAGAACCTCGTCCTGCGCACTGCCTCTGTTCTACATACCCCAAGCAAGCCACAGACACATGCAGCCCTCAAAAGGCATGCACTGCCAGAGCAGAAGAACCCACCCTCCACCTTCCCACCCCAACAGCTGTCAGAAGCACCTATGAAGCAGGAGGCCTCATCCACCTCTCCCCCATGAGCAATCTTCTGCCCTTCCATCAGGCTCAGGACCCTCCTGAAGTGGCGCTTATTGATGATCCTTTCATAATCCACAGATGACTTCACATCTTCCCCATAGAATTCCTAACAAAAGGCACAGCAGAACCAAAGTGCTCCACAGATCCTTACAACAGCCACAGCTCTAGGGCTGCAGCTCCAGGAACTCAGACCTGGGCTGTAACGGGGGTAACTCCCACACCATGAGGAACTCCACACTCACCTGCAGAGCTGCCTTGATGTTCTCCACCACGTTGCTCTGGATGGAAGGGTTGCAGAGGATGTAGTCTGGGGCAATGCAGGTTTGCCCACAGTTCATGTACTTCCCCCACGTTATACGCCTAAGGGGGAAAGGGAGATGGTTTCTCCATGGTCAATCCCTTGCAGACCCCATAGCCCAGCTGATCTTGCCTCAGTGACACCCATGGTCTGGGGTCAACAGCCCAGAGATGTCCACCTGCCCCACTGCTGAGACCCTGGAAGAGCTTCAACAGCCTGACCTGCAGGCAACAGCCAGGTCACAGTCTGTGTCTATGTAGCAGGGGCTCTTCCCACCCAGCTCCAGGGTGACGGGTGTCAGGTGCTTGGCAGCTGCTGCCATCACCATTTTGCCCACTGTGGAGTTGCCAGTGTACAGGATGTGATCGAATCTCTGGGTCAGCAGCTCTGTTGTCTCGGACACTCCCCCAGTGACCACAGGGTACAGCTCCTGTAGGGCAGACAAGAGCCTTACAGTTACCCTGCCATAAAGCACATATTTCAAGGCAGCAAGTCTACGTGGGCAGACCCACTCGCAAGCTACATTAGGATCTGGAGAAAATATAGCGATAACAGAGACGAACTCTTCTTTCTCCCCTGAAGTGAAATTTCACTTGTCACTTTGTGCATATGAACCACAAGAAACGGAGGTTGAGGCCAGGGCTGTCAGGCTCTGTACCTGCTCGCACACATTAAAACTTTGGCATGTATGACCATCGGGCTCTCCCAAGGGCTGGCTCCTTCCTCAGCTCTAGCTCCCTGCCTAGCGAAAGCACTAATTCCCTGAAAACACGCAGTGGGGCCATGAGCAACAGCGTGTCTCAGTAACACCACACATGTCAGAACTGCCAGACACT